GCCAGGTGCTGTGTGAGTGGGGAAATTCTCCAAGAATACAGTCTCTGGAACTTAGGTGGGCCAGGGAAGGTGTTCCTGAACAAGGGAATGCAGGCTGCTTCTCAAAGGATGAGAAGAAGGTCATCAAAGAGAAGAGAAGAGAAGGAAAAGTGTCCCGAGCCTGCTGCTAGGCCTGGCAGAGAGAGGAAGTCTGCTCTGGGGAGGAAATCGAATCTCCGAGGATGGCTGGAACAGTGTGTGACGCAGGGAGATGACACGGACACGAGCAGAGGGCTTTGCGAGCCTGCTGCAGGGACTGCACTTCAGTTACTGTCTGGAGCCAGCCAGAGGGTGACTGGGGCTCCTCGCCAAGGCTTCTCTGCCTGCAGCATAGACAGCGGAGGCAGAGTGGCAGCCATAGGGCAGTGGGGAGGGACAGCTGCGGGGTGGGCACACTCAGTGAGATGACAGAACCGTCAGGACTTAGAGACTGGTTTCATGGGGTGGGGTGTGAGAGAGGAAGGAACAGGCGACTCCCGGGTTTCTGTCTCGGGATGGGGTGGGTCATGATGGCACTTGCTGAGCCTGGAGGGGAGGGGGCAATTGGTAGGTCAGTTATTTCCTTTGAGCCTAAAGCACTTGCAAGAAATCCGAGTGGAGATGCCCAGAAAGCAGGGGAACAAAAGGGCCTGGTGAGGCTCTCACTGCTGAGCCTGGATGCAGCCACTGGATGGACTCACCACAGGACCCGGGGCTACGAGGGCGCAAACAGCAAGAGATGCCACCAAGAGGAAGGACCAGCATGGTTCTCGGTACACTGTCAGACAGCCAGAAAACACCCTGTGGGTAAAAACTGTGGCTCTGCTCCTTCAACTTGGGGTTCAGCAGTCAGAGCATGACGCACCTCTAAAATCAGCCAGGGGGAGTCCACAAACCAAGGACTCACATAGACCAACAAATCAGTCTCCCTCAAAACGCCCTGTGGCCCTGCTCTGTAGAGTGCACCTTTGCCTTACGTAGACAGACAGTCTTCACACCACTGCTCCCTTTTGTAGACCCCTAGTGTTTAAAGTCAGTTTTCCCTGTGGTTTATTCTGCAGCAAATCTTTATAGCTTAACACTCCTTATACCTCAGAGTACCTTTTTAAAAAATTTTGGTCTAGAGCTCAAAGAAAGCAACAAAGGTCTAGGCTAGAAATAATGGATTGCAGAGTCACCTGGGCTGCTGCACTGGAAATGAAATGGAAAAACGCCACATGCTGAATGGCTTATAGAGAGTTACAAGGCACTTCACTGTATGAATGGTTATGAAAAATTCAGCTTTAGAAAAGAAGAGAAAGAAAAATTATTTAAACAACTTATTGACCCCACCATCTCTAAACCACTTGACCTTGGAAGATATCCACCCCCGTGCCATTAGATCCCACAGGGCTACAGTGTTGTAGAATATGCTCTGATAAATAATATTTAGGCATTGTGCAAGGAGAAATAAGTTTATCAATACCATTTTTAAGTATTTGTATTTTTTAACATAAATTGGATCAATCAGGCTAAGGACTTCTCAGTTATCTGCTCGTTGAAGTAGTGTTATGATTTCTACCTAGATGTCCCCAAAGCCTCATGCAGTCATAGGTGGGGCTTTGGGGAGGTGACTGGATCACAGAATGTGATACTTTTAGTGGATTTGTCCAGTGATGAATTTACAGCTGAATGTGATGTTGGAAATTGAACCCTGGTTGCAGGAGGCAGTCACTGGGGCTGAAAAGATCCATCTCCCTCCTCCTCCTTTGATCTCTCTGCTTCCTGCCACCATGCTATGAAGGTGTCCCTCTGCCATGCCACTCTGCTTTGGAGCCAGTCAATAATGGACTGAAACCTTTACACGCTGTGAGCCAAAATAAACTTTTCCTCCTTTTAAGTTGTGGGTGTTGGGTATTGTGTCTGAGTGATGAGAAAAGAACTGAGACAAGTAGCTCCATTCCCAGAAGCCTGATAAATACAAGTACTACTACACATCTCACCACAGGAGCTGCTGTTGCAGGCCTGGCAACCAGCAGAAACTAGCCCGGCTCTACAGCAGCGTGCCTTTCCATTGAAGGCACCAGGCACACTGCGAGCCTGATGCTATACACCATCTCCCCAGGGGAGCAATTGCATATTGTCATCTAATGCACAAATCAAGAAATTCACAGACCCCAAATCCCAGGTGAAGAATTCTTACTCTCTAACCACAAAAGCCACTTGAATCCAGCTAACCATGGCCAAAGTGACAGTGCTCCTGAAAACACAAGTCCTTTGCACCGGGAGTGCATGGGAAGTTCACCCCACTGTCAGTAGCGAGAGCCCAGCTCCAGTGCCTGCTGTGTTCTAGATTTTAGATGTGTCAAGGACTCTGCACCCTGCAGAGGCCCTGGCCAAGTTATGTTATGGGCCATATTGTTTGAGGCTGTTAGTGAATCCTGATAGGTTTTCTTCTGAAATGTATGCTTTCAATGTTTCTGTTTAAGTTCTCTTTTGAAAGGGAAAGAGTAGTAGTGAAGGACTGTGAAGACAGAGTGTGTTTATGGTAGAAAGAACATAAATGATGAGGTTAATGATTAGGAATTTTTCCCCAAGACCATCCCTCACTAGCTGTGTAACCCTAGGAAACTTGCTGTTTCTTCAGTTTTCCAATTATAAAATGAGCACAATTACCCCTACCCTTTCTGTCCCACAATGTCACCTGCTGAGCCAATAAATTAATGTGCACAAGAACACTTTGGAAACAGCAAGGTTACACACAAATACAAAAGAAGGTGGTGCTGTTAGCAGGCATCTATAACTATTATGGATGTGACCGCTGAGGACTTATTCAAAGTGGCTGCTGTTATAATTTTGTTGTATGTCATCACCCTCGGACAGTGAGCTGTATGTGAAGGCGGCCTGAGTCATGGGAGGTACCCAGCAGTGGATCAGTTCCCTGCCCTCATCCGTGGACTGTGTTTGCCTTCAGTTTGACAGTGTTGCTACCAGGTTGCCTCAATTTAATGTGGCCCTACACCCCACAGTTGAGATGTTTCCCACAGCTTATGCCACACATCCCAACAACTGTAAATTCAAGTAAATCAATGCTTAGAAATGACTTGTAACATCTGAATGAATGCTTCATGTGTTGGCATTTGTTATTCTTTGCAGCCCCTCCTGACCTGCATTAAAAGCATGGTCATTGCAGAAGGTGAAGGATAGTTCTGGCTAGGTTTTTAAAGAAACCAGATTTTGAAAATATTATCACTGTGAGCTATCTGCCTGAGGATAAATAAGAAAGAAGGGCACTTCCCTCTGGAGCCCAGCCTCCCTTCCACAAGCTCATGCCTGTCCTCCCAGCCAGCTCCACAGCTCTCTTTAGAAGCCACGTCCATGGCAGGTATGACACATGTGTATGCTAACTGTGGCACAGACCTACAGCCCTTGCTGTCCTCACTGTCACCAAACCCTGGACTCCAACAGAGGAAGCAGAGTAACAAACAATCCCATCTCTCTTTCTGCATTTCAGAGGGCTATTTGGGATAAAATTAAATATATTTTATAACCTTTCTGAAATAAAACCTTTATATACATCAAGGTGAGATGTCAGTGTAACTCCAGTTATGTGCCATACAAGCCACGTTGAGCAGCCTGACAATTATAAAAACATTTAAAAGAAGCTTGACTTTAAAAAATTAGGTGCTAAAGAGCTCAAACAGAGAAGATACACTTGGAAGTAGAAATTTGGAACTATGATTAGATTTAGTCAATCATTCACTCATTTGAGTGATATTTACTGTTTGAAATGTAGTTATTTTTAAAAACGTCTGTACCTACTGTGGTCAAAGATGAATAAATAAAGCAGGCATGGTTGGTTTATAAGTGTACCCTGTAACAAGTTCAATGGAAGGTATAGTGAGAGAAACACAAGAGAAGGGCCTGCTTTGATGGGGATCAGAGAAGGCCTGTCAGAGCACATAACACTCAAGCTCAGAACTAAAGAGAAACTAGGCTGAAACAAGAGCAAGTGCAAAAGCCTAAAGCCATGAGGAAGCTTGGCATGACTGAGGACCTGTCCGGAGATGAGAGGATGCTAGAGCAGGTCGGTTAAATATTGACAGGACTGGCAATACGTTGGAGTTCAACCCAAATACAAAGGAAAGCTTTGAAGGGTTTTAGGCAGAGGAGTGAATGAATGAGATTTGTTATTTGAAGGCAAGAGGGGAAAGTGGAAAGATCGATTGAGTGGCCGCAGTAACAGGCCAGGCAGGAAAGGCCGGTTGCATGGACAGTGCTGGTGGCAGGAGAGGAGCGACGTGGGCATTTGGTGTGTATTTAAGGAGGCAGAATGGAAAGAATTTGGTGGCAGATTGGAAACTAGGAGTAAAGCAGTAAAGAAATCAAGACCAGAATTTGCTGCCCCCAAATATGAAAGATTATTGAGCTACAGACAATTTAGAGGAAGCAGATAAAGGGAAGCTCTCTGTCCTCCTCTGTTTGCTTAAGACAGAACATGGGTTTACAAAGACAGAAGATGTCCTGCCTTCCATGTCTCCCAGGGAGAGTGAAGACTAACGGCTGAGGGCAGACCTAGACCCTCCTTGTGTAGAGATAGTACCAGGGGAATCGACCCTGACAAGCTCCACTAATTGGCCTTTACCTGCCTCTTGCTTGCCTTCCCCTAAGAGGCCTCCAGAACAGACTCAGAGTCCTCTCTCTTTGTCTCTTCTCTGAAAACATCCTGCTCTTGGTGGGAGATCCTGGAAACTGAATTCAGGGCCACCTCTTTGAGGCTCCTCATTCCCTAGGTGTTTCCCTTGCACAGATGAAATGCACATGTCCATTGATTCCTACTTGCTTTTCTGTCCTTTGTTACAGGAATCTGTTCCAACAAAGAAGTTACGAGAATTGAATAAACAATTATTTTTCTTTCCCTCCAACTCCTTTGTCTGGCTCGAGTAAGAAGACAGGAAGTGGCAATGTGCCAGGCCACCCTTTTGAGGTCCAAGGTGACTCACCGGAGTCCTGAACGCTGTCCTCTGCCTGGGGCTGCACAAGTGGATGGACCACTCTCAGTTCACCAGGAGGCGTGAGTGAGGGGTTGAGGTTAATTCTAACCATGTCCTTCCCAGTGTGTTTGTTGGCTATCCAAATTGCCTTCTCTTTCCATGTTGAATAGAAGATACGGTGACCGAAAAGGGACATTGCAAACAATTTGTGCCTAAAAAATGACAAGAAAGAAAAGGAAAACCCATAAAAGAATGGCAGACCATTTGTTCCTGGAATTAGTAAAGTTTCACTTCATTTCCATTTATTGTATTAAGTTCACTCACCTACCTTTTTGATTGATTCTCATGTAGGATTAGAAACATGTTTAAATTTTCACTTATGTCATCATTATCTAAACTAACACAACATAATTTCTAGCTCCACATCATTTCTCATTCTTCTGCTTGTCATCATGTAAGCACGATGAAAATGAGGGGGAAAACAGGAACAGGACAAGGGTAGATTTCTGGGTTTGTCTGTCACACTTGGCTAATTTTTCCCTTTTTCACAAGGTGGAAAGTCAGTTACTGGCACGCTAGCGAGTCAAATGAAAGATAGGCACTGTGCAAAACATGACACACTAACTCCAAGAAGAACTATGACCAACGTCTGAGAATGTTTTATATGTCAGATATTCCACTATTGTTGTTTGCATTTGTTTACTTCATCTTCACAATAGCTCCAAGAAGCAGGCACTATTATTATTTAACAAAAACTAAAGATAAGTTATGTTAACCTTTGTAAAATCATTCTCCTAATAATTGGTAAATCTGAAACCGGAACTCAAGTCTTTTGGATCACAAAATTCCATGCGCTACATTACTACACTGGTGTAGTTGGCAAAAGTAATTTATCATGCACACTTCAAGAGACAATTGTGTTATTTTACACAGAAAGCAAAACTTACTGTGTTGGATGTTTGCTGAGCTGGATAGAACCTCCATTATAATCACAGGAACAGATATGAGAATCACTTTCTTCTCTATTTTCCTGAATCCAAAAGAGACGTTTATTGAGCACATCCAGTGACATAGCTTCTATTTTCTCTGGTGTCACCAACAGAGTCTTCACTTCTACACCACTGAGATCTGCTCTGTGAAGGCTGCCAGCTGCCTCTGAAGACCAAAATATAAACCTGCGGGCAGACACATAACATGGACCCGTAACTGGATGAACGGAGAGTCACAGAAATGACAGGCCCTTCCAGCGGCCCAGCGGCCCCTAACTCCTGCACAGGAAGGGGTGTTTGGCTATTTGAATGAAAATTCAATTCAACAAGTATGTATTGGTTATTATGGAAATTCCATGTGATTTCCAGTTAGAGGAAGTATGCTTCTGTTGCAAAAAAAAAAAAAAAAAGGTAGTTATCCATGTTTTAGAAGGAACCTTCCTGGGTTCAGGAATGCAGGCAATGGTCCCAAGGTGTTCATCTACTGTAAAGAGGGCCTTAGTCTCGAGTATGGTTGCTTTAACTTCAAAACGTTATGCTTCTAAGGCCAGGGATTTAGCTCAGTGGTTCCCCTGCCTGCCTCGCAAGCGCAAGGTACCAAGTTCGATCCCTGGTACCCCCCAAAAATGTTATGTTTCTAGGAATCTTCATTAGATTTGAAATTTATTTCAGTATCTGAAAACAGTAGAATTTACCTTTCTACCGGATCAACTGCTATATCTGCAGGATGTTTTACGGTGCTTAAAAGAATGCGGGAATTGCTTCCTTTCATATCTGTTACTGTAATGATTCCTTCCTGTTGATTTGACCAAATAACTTCTTCGTTTATCCAATTTATCACCATTCCAGAAACATTTTTCTCTAAATTGCATACTTTCTGCAAAATCAAAATTTGAAACTGTTATTAATATTTCCCCATTTACACAAAATTATTTTATTGTAGTATAGAAAAAGCCTATTCTTGTAAGTAGTTGACATTTTCGTGTTTTCCTAGAATCCTAACGATCCTAACTTTTAAGTATAAACGTTAAAATAGATGCAGCAGCATTAACCCTCTACCAGCACCACCCATGTGATGATTTCTGGGCATGCATTTACATCATCGCTCTGAAACTGAAAAATTATCTTATACACTATGAAAATTAGGCAGTCAACCATGCTTATTAATATCAATTATACTAACTGTAGGATTTTGATGCTGCCTTAAAATTCGTTTACTTGGTTTCACTTTTTAATGGGATCATCCAGATCCGCACCTTAATGCCGAGTTTTGCCAAACTCTAGCAAGATTCCCTTGGAGCTTGAGCCGGGAGCTGGAGCTGTGCGGCGGAGGATTTCTTGTTGAGGCTCTTTCTTCTCCCGGCCCCCCTCCACCAGGCCCCTTCTTTCTATCTTAGTTCTGGTAAATCGTTTGCATTTTAACAGCTGCCCTTTGGAAACAGTATTTTCACTCGAAGGAGGAAATACAGGGGCGGACTCCCAGGCATCTGGCCGTCTTCTCCTAATGACTTGACAAAAATTCACAGCTGTTCACACTTTTCCTTGTCTGTGACAGGAAGCCCTCCAGATTCTCAGACTCCAGATTCTGAACCGACTCTACCAGGTGGCTGCAGAATAATGAGTAACCACACTTAAGAGTGAAACAGATTAGCACCTAATTGGTGCTTTTAGGAATACTTGGGCGGAGAAAGTTTGGGTTAAAAAAACCACAGTGAGCGCTTTGTGTCGGGAGTAAATGCTTAGGGTTGCTGTAATCACATGCGGTCTGTAATCCATCTCCAAAGTGGGGTGAGAACATTCCTCCTGGGGCTCATTTAAGAGTTCTAGCAGTGTAAAAGAAAGATTAAGGATCCTTTGTACATACTTGAAGTACAATACTTTATATCTGTCATCTTCTTCATTTTCTATTCCCAAGTACAAACACTTTCAGAATAAAAAGGAAAAAAATTTCTTCCTAAATGTCAGGTGATTATTTTTCCCCTACATGACAGAGACTTTTATACAGAGAAAACAGGGTTGTTCAGCCTCAGCACCGTGGCACTTGGGCTGGATCATTCTTTGTCATGGGGCCACCCTACACATTGTGGGGTGTCTAAAGCACCTTGGCCTCCACCCATTGCATGTCCTCCTCTCTCACCCAGCTGTGACAACCACAAAGGTCCCTAGACATTGCCAGATGGCACCCCCACCCTGAAGGAGAGGGCCACAAGACACCCTCCAGTTAAGGACCACTGGGGTAGAAAATAGTCACACAGATCATCTATTTCAATCATAACTGACCTAATAAACTTAGATATTTTCAAAATTACATTCATGTCCTCATGTTCTCCTTTTGAGGGCTTAGCATATCAGTTTGTGCACTTATTCAATAATACAGTACCATAAATGCAGATTAAACTCCTACATTTGCCAGATACCCATTTGAACTGTAATGTGTTTTCAATTATCGGTACCGTAAGAATTCAATACATCGTGTTGGTCAGCCTTGACCTAAATCCCTCAAATGCCACAGGTAATGGTCCTTTACCTACCTCTTGCCTTGACCCATTCAAAAAAACTCGTTGCAGAAGTTTTGTTTCTAAATCTACCCAGTAGATTCTTTCCTCCCTGTAATGAAAATCCATGATCACTGAGACACCAGCATCCACCACCAGTTGCTCATGATTGGTTCCTTCCGGGTCGATCCTAAAGATGCTGTGTCCATGGGAGAAAATTAAGAAGGGTGCAGGACCTGAGAGGGAAGAAAGAAACCAAAGTGTAATGTCTTCAACAACATTTTATCTGATCTAGACAAAACACTTCATTCTGACCACCAGCACAAGCAAAATTAATATTTAATTACTGCTTTTGTATTTTAGTTAAAGTTATTGTATGGAGAATAAAGAGTTCCTGTAGATCTCACAGTCGATTTTGTAAAACATCTTCTCCATAAGTTGACTCTGAGAAATGAGCATTGCAAATTATGAACTACTTTAAGAGAAAGATACTTTTTTCTATGTCTAAAATGCCTTTTTACATAAAAAAAAAAATAAGCCACATACTGTATTCTATTATGGAAAGGGCCTCTTTGAATGTTAGTTTTAATTGTGTCAATTGGAAGTAAACTTACAGATAGGGTTTTGGAAATGGGTCCTTCTCCTCCAGCCTTACCTTACAGCTAGAGCCATCAGGGTGGCAACATGGGACATGGTGGGAGCAAAGGACTCAAGTGGAAGCAGGAAAAATTGAAATGCCATCCTCTGAAAGTTGGGAAATGCTTTGACCTGCTTATTAGCATTGTCATATAAAGTACAGGACACTCAGCTAAATTAAAATTGCATACCCAGGCTGAGCATCCCTAATCTGAAATCCAAAATCCTCAAAAATCTGAAACCCTTGAGCCCTGCATGAGGCCACAAGACAGAAATTCCACACGTGATCCCATGTGACAAGTTCCAGTCAAAACACAGGTGCCTTAAAAATATTGTAGAAAATTGCCTTGGGGCTGTGTGCATACAGCATGTGTAAAACACCAGTGAATTGTGGTTAGACTTGAGTCCCAGCCCCCAAATCTCCAATCATGTGTGCAAATATTCTAAAACCCAAAGTAAAATAACCCAAACTCAGAAACACTGTGGTCCCGAGCATTTCGGATGAAGGATATTCAAACTGTGCGTTGTTTGGGACTTACAATAAAAAAATTGTTTTCTGGTTACCTAAAATTCAAACTTAATTAACACTGGGTGTTTTCATTTGCTAAATCTGGGTGCTGGATATCCCTGGGCTCCTTGGTGTCTGTGGGGCCTTGCTCTGAGCCTCACCCTCTGCCGGTCCTGCCCTCTTCTAGGTGGTGGACACCTACCTGCACTGAAGCCCAACTCTCAGACTTGCTCCCCTCTTTGGAAACTCAGCTCTAACTCCTGGCTGACTCAAACCCAGCCTGCCGTGGCCACGCCCAGATGACACCCATGGGTGATCTCATCCCCGGTCCTGGGCTCACTTCCTCAGTCTCTCTGACCAGAAAGGAGGATCCTCCAGCCGCTCTGCCTTTAGAAAATGACGGGCCAGTGGGTGCATTGAGGGAGTGGGGAGATTTCTAACATGCTCTTGTTTCCCAGCTGGGCTCACTCTACTCTGTTTGAGCACTAAACCACAATACCTTAATGGGACTTCATAAATGTGTTTATTGTTCTAAGGATTAAACCAAATGATAGATTAACGTGCTCTTCTAAAGTCAGAAAGCATCAACTCTAGGAAGAGGAGACATGAGAACAGAGACAGCAGAGGCAGGAGCACTGTGGGATCGGGAGCAGTTGAAGTAGGTGCCACACGATGTCCGTAGGAATCCCTATATTTGTGCTGACACCAGTCCCTGGGCAGCCGGCCAGGGCCCACGCTCCACCCGCTGCCGGGGAAGCCCAGGGGCACCTGGAGAGAAATGGAAAGGCCGCTGGACCAGGGCCAGGAGGTCTGGCTTCCTGTCTTGGCGGAGGAGCCCCTCTGAACATCTCTCGGGACCCCCTCTGAGACTGCTGTAGATGTGAGCACATTGTGGATCGCGGAGGACTTACACACACGGAGTTGGCCATTGCTTCTTCCCGAAGTTTCACTCCACAGCTTTGTGCTGCTGTTTCGATCCGCACTGGACACGGGTATATCTCACCCGTTTCTTACTCAGCGGGAGGAGGACCCTAGGAACAGGCATCCTAAGTGCACAGCTCCTGCTGTGTGGCCGCAGGTGACACGGGCGTGAGGATTTATTCCCAGAAGTCCCTTTGATATGTGCTCCATGCCTTCTTTATAAACTTAATAAATGTGCCCAACATGTATTTATTAACTTTCTAATGGATCAGTAAAACATTTCGTTCATTTAGCAGTATTACAAAGGATTTGAATCTTTAACCAGAATTTCTTTTTCTGTTTTTTGTTTGTCTTTTGAGGCAGGGTCCCCCTTTGTCGTTCAGGCTGGCCCTGAACTCACTGTGTAGGCCAGGCTGGGCTTGAACTTTCGGCAATCCTCATGCTTCAGCCTCCCGAGTGCTGGGATTACAGGCATGCACCACCATGCCTGGCTCTTAACCAGATTTTCTGAGCTGACACACAATGTGCTGAAGAGCAAGGCAGCGGCCATGATGCTGTTAGGACTCTGTATCCTAGCAACCAGCTATCCATAGATAGATCCACCACGTGAATGAAATCCACTTAGCACACAAAGCTTTGCAGACAGGGTGGCTGGCTCTCCTGAATGGAGGAGAGGCGGCAATCTCCTGTGAGGGCCCTTTCCACCCTGTCACTGACAGGGGCTTTGCAATCACCCAGTGCACACCATGAACCACCAGCCCACAGGGTCTCAGACTCGTGCAAATCCCACTACCAAGTATCCTAGGCAGTACTTGCGAGACCCAGGTACTGAGAGACTTGAGCGTGCTTGGCCAGGCTTGGGAGAATTAAAATATTAAGGTCAGAAATGTGCAAGGAGACCCACATACCAGCAACAATCTTAGAAAGAAGGCCACGAGGTGGTGAGAGTAGGTGTTCCTGACTTGTCTTTGACTAAGGGGACTGAAATTTCTATACATTTGCAAATTCTCAGAATTGTAAGAAAGCTCTGAAAGAGGACATTAAGGAATAGGATGGCTCCCAAAGAAAGGTATAGTTACCTAAGTTATTTCACAATTGCTCTTGGAGGTTAACGACACCAACCACAGACAACAACAGAGAAATGTATTCTTGGACATAGTGAGAGCTTTCAAGAAACATGAAGATCCCTTCTGTTTCATTTTTGTTTCTTCCTGCCAGGCCTGATTCTCAGGGATCTTTCATCATCAGCCCCAGCAAACAGGACAGCCGCGAAGGGACTGAGATGGCAGTGTCTACAAAGAATCTGAGACACAGGTCCGCCCTGACATCTAGGTCACACTTCCTCCTCTGCAGAGCGCTATTAGCATCCGGTGTCAGTGTGGCCCTGTGGGCACGGCGTGGACGGCGGGGACAATCGCATCCCAAGATCAGGGCTGCTGCTGCACTTGTGTTTCTTGGTTCTTTCTTAAAGTTGGTTCAAATTCTAGCATTAGAAACCACAACATAACGAAACTGACATTTGTTTGTTAGCAGCTCTCGGATTGCTCAAATTTGGAATAATAACTGAAGCTAAACTGAACACTGCACTGCTTCATGGAATATGGCAATTTCTTGAAAAGCCTTTAAGAATTCCTTCAAAGAAAATACATTCTTTCTCTTGGAAGCCAGCATTGAATATTTAACAGGACATTGGCCACAGCCCCAGGAGGCAGTATCATTAGCTCTGTTTCACAGTGAGGAAGACAAAGCAATGTTCACAGGCAGCAGGACCGGGGTTTGAACCCAGGCAGGTAGCAGGTCTCCCACATTTATCCTCACTTCCATCAGGAAGAATTGCAGTCCAAAAACCACTCAGTATTTGGGGGTAGCTAAGGTCACATGGTGTGCATCAAAGGCCACTCTGCAGTTTCTGCAGTCAGATTTTAAACAGAAAAAAATAACCTTTGCATAACTCTAGCCGAAAGCAAACAAGCTTCGGACCTAAGACTGACTCGCTTTGCACACGGCGGGGAGGCTGACTGAGCCCGAGCTGGTGCTGGGACCAGCGATTTCCCTGTTCAGCTGCCTGGCCCTGCCCTCCTGCAGCCAGCCTCTTCCCTGGCTCCATTCACCAAGAACATTTATAAAATAACGCGGGTGGAGACGCCAGGCAGGAACAGTTCCTTTTCAACTGACCTTTGTCCTCCAAGGCAAATAGGCCTTGCAAGTTCAGAAGCCACTTGCCAGCAATGTTCTCTACTGCTGTCCTCATTTTCTTTAGCTTAAACAGAAGCCAAGCAAACACGGTTTCAGCGCAGGAGGACAAAGAGTGCGGAGAACACCTGAATCTCTGGCGAGGGACCACGCAAGCAGCGACCTGGCCTCATTCACCTGGACCTTGTCAGACCACAACGCATTCTTCCTGCCGGGTGGGCTGGCTGCCCAGGTGGTCTGTCTCGGTGCCAGGGCCAAGCAGAGCTCAAATGAGGGGGGAAAGAGGTGAAGCCACCAATCTATTTAGAGAGGAGAAGGAAACACTACCCTCCAAAATGCAGGGGAGACAGGGTGTGGCTGGGCAGTTACCAACCAGCGGGGGGCACAGCGCGTAAAGCAGGGGACTCAGAACAGTGACTCCCGGGGAAGGAGGCAGCACAGAGCCAGGGTCCAGAGTGACACCCGACACTGCAAGAGGTCCGTGTCACCTTGATGCACTGCTCATGACCAGGCACACGTGCTGTGACCCAGCAAAGACATTCAGCCAGGAGATAGAGCCTCGTTTGGGAATCGCCCCATGCTGGGTCCGTTTCTGTGCTATCTCTCACCGGCTCCATGGCAGTCCTGAAAGCCGGCGTTATTTCCCAGCGATCCTCCAAGGTAACTCAGCTCTGAAGGAGGCAGTGTGAGCGAAGGCAGTGCGTTTGCCTCTAAGGCCCGTGTCTTCCACTCCAAGGCAAATCTCCCTAACTCCGTCTCCACCCCGAGCTGCAGGTTTGCTGGGTGCAAAGGCACTTGCTGGTGGCAAGGAGCTCCAGGCACAGATTATTTCCTGGGACCCTATGCATAAAATCTTTTTCTTTCCTTCTTTTGTGATGGTAGCAAAGTTTTATTAAAGGTAGGAAAGAAACAGGCTCTGCAGAGTGAGTTTGGGCCAAGTAAAAGTAGGAACCTGACAGCATGAGGGCGGCCGCCTTGCAAGAGAGAGCGTGGTGCCCTAAAATGCTGTTTCTGCAGTTTCTCCCCTCTCCTGGGACCTGGGTTCTTCTTTCCTAGCCCCTGGCTGCCAGGGTGGCTCCCACCTCACCGATCACCTCGGCTCCTCGGGGGAAAATTCTCCCACCCTGAGTGACTCAGTCCACTTGATTTAACTGTGACCAAATGCTTTTACCTCTGCCTCCAACAGTGGGGTACAAGGTTCACAGGGTCACCCCCCCTTGAGGTTATTCTCTGGAACCATGGAAGGACTCCTCACTCATTCAGCAAGACACTGCTGAGAGTGCACAGACAGTGAAATCACTCCAGGTACCGAGGGTACGGGGGAATTCGCATTCAGTCCCACCTTCAGTCCCTAGCAGCAAGCCTGACTGGTGACATCCAGGACTCTGAGCGAGAGCACCTGATGTCTCATGCATGATTTCCCTCATCGGCAGCTGGGCTTAGATCTGTTCTCCTTGTTCCCTCTATTGTGTGCTGTCTTGTGCAGGTTTCTTTCCTGGAATTATTACCAATTACCGTATTTCCTTGATCCCCTCCCTCTGGAGGCCAGACACCATTGCTAAAGAGTAAGACAAAGAAGCAGGCACGTGTGCCCGGGGACAGACGGAAGCGGCTGTCTGGCTGTGCGGCGGTGGACACCTACCCGAGGAAGGGAGACTCAAATCCACAGCGAGAGACAGAGTGCTTTTCAGGCAAGAGTCAGGCGGGATGGTACCTTGCATTCAGTGAAATTCCCATTTCCCGTGGTTAAAAACCCATTTTGCAGGTGAGGGGCCGTGGTTTATTTACCCATTTTCATTTCTCAGCAGTTCTCAGTGGTGGTGCACCTGTTACTGAGAACGCAGGGCCTGACAGAGCTTCAGAAACAGCTCTGAGCTGGACACTGGTTAATTTTCACAAGGGCAGAATCACCTTTGCTCACCTCTCCCTTCTGCTTTTTTACTGATTTGTAGCAACTTCTGAATTCTTACCCTGAAGTAATTAGAAAGAAGTCTGTTTTCATCTTTGTAGTTTAAACAGAGGCAGTTCCAAACACAACAAGCACAGCCTCTACCCTGTGTTTCCCCACTTCCAATGCAAAGCCGATCAACGGAAGGTTGCTTACTCCTCCTGTTACAGTAGAGGCTTCCGTGAAAACTGCTCAGGTCACTGAAAATGAGATTTTCTCTCACACACAGAGCAGTTGAGAACTATGACATTTTGTACTTGGTAGCAGATTAGCTCTAACATCCAGTGAGGAAATAAACAAAAAAATTTAAAAAATACACATACCCAGAGACAAACCAGAAAAACAAATACAAGAGCAAAGCAAATGCTCTGGTGCCTAGAAGGCGTGGGTGCCTTTGAACTCGATCACTTACCCACGCAGGTGGAAATCCCATTGCTTCCATTGCTCCGGACACCTTCAGGACAGTTCCAGCGCTGCTGTGCCGAGACACTAATGAAACTAAACTTAAAAATCACAGGCAGCAGAAGGCCAAGCAGGCGCGACGTGGTCTCCATGGTCAACCCTCTCAACACACAAGAAGTTACTTCGGCACACGCACAGGGCAGCCCGGGCCCCCCACGTCCAGGTACTGGTCCCTGGCCCCGGCACATCACCCACTCTTCCCCCTGCTGTCCTGCTGCCCCCCTCCAGGGCCTCCTTCCTCAGCACAGCTTCCGAATGCAGACTGAAAATGCTCCAGGAAAGATTTCTTTATCTATGTTTTTTTTGGAAGCCAGTAAGAAATACCTGACATCCATATGGCAAATTTCACAGAGCTTAACAGACACTGCCACTGGAGAGGCCCGCAGCTGCCTTGCCGTGAGAGGTAAAATCTTAGAGAATAGAGAAAGGAGAGAATTGGTGGAAAGTGTGAACCTGACCCTGGGATGAAGCTGGAGATCACTCCCCAGACCCAGCTCCTCTTGAGAAGCAGAATGACGCCCCTTTCCCTTTTAAAGTCCTCTGGCTCCTCCTCCTCCCTTAGTGACATGTGAGTGAGCCTCTATCTGCAAATGCCAATGTGGGCAGTTCCACAGGACAGGAAAGCAAGCCAGCCACCAGAGAGGAGAAAACTACTATGCACCAAAAACATTTTGAGTAGACCCAGGAAGAGCAGCTCAGGGTCCGAAGGAGCTGAAGCAGGTGGCTGCTGATTATGGGCTATGTCTTAAAATCGGAAGGACAGAGGCACAGTTTAACCAGTGTAAATCCGAGGTGGGCAGCCCAGTTGCTGATCTGGGTGTATAAGACACGCACAACACCTCACATAGCCTGCTTTCCACTCATTATTTGCATGAAACGTCAGCACCCTGCACGTTCCTGGAGCTCCCTTTTGTTCTCTCTTCTGTGTATTTTATAGCGGAATTTGGAGAATTATTCTTTCCAAATCAAAGGGAAATTTCTGGAGCCAAATGAAGAGAGACAGTGTGCACAGCCACCTTGTCTTTCAGCATGAGTGTAATAAAACATCCATGGAGCCACGACCGCAGGGGACAGCAGCACATTGTTATTAGAGAGCCACACTGGAAAAAATAAGCTAACTGTGCCAAAGCCAGGGACACAGAGGCCAGGGCAGTGACTGCAACTCCTTCCCCTATCGTCTGCGCTCTTTCTTTCAGTTAGGCTAGAAGAAATAAAGACAGGTAGAAAGGACACAAGGAAAACCAGCATTTTAAAACTGTACTTTTTTTAAAAAGCTGAAGTTTCGGACACAAAAGTTATTCAAGCCTTTTTCTCTTCCAGGAAACCCAAAAAGTCCCGAAGAGTCTTAGAGGTACACTAAGCCTGGGAGCTGGGCTCTGGGCTGGTGCTTTTCAGCTGTAAATGACACTTCCTTCCGCAGACCCGGGCCCTCAAGGGGCAGTGATAGTAGGGCAGCGGGTCTCAGCTTCAGACGCAGGTAGACGCCTGTGAGCTGATGGACAGTGGGGACGAACAGCCCAGATGGCCCATCCGGGGACCCCGAAGCCCCATGATCCAGCCAGCTCCGGGTCACAGCCACTCCCCTCTCAACCGAGGACCTGCTCTTTCTTTGAGTGTGTCCTTTAAATTCTGCTTTAAAAGTCCCTTTATGCCTCTAACTGATGTGTCCTAAAAATTCTTTCCTCCCACAGGAGTCAGGAACCTGCAAATTCTACGGGGAGGTGGGTTGAGGAGCCTGCTGGTGCCCTGTCGGGTGACATCTTCACTCTCAGGGACAGGCGTGAGACCGGACCGCCCACTGCCCATCTCCTCCACTGCTCTTGTTTTGTACCACCTCACCCCACCCTGCGCCAGGATTTTCCCCAGGCCCTGAAAAGCATTCACCCGAGCGTAATGCACAGTGGAAATTCCTGCCACTTTGCTCCATCCTGGAAAAAGACTTTCATTTAAGTTGCCCCGAGGTAGTGTTCCAAATGCTAGTCCAAGTGCAGGTGTCAAGTAGCGGCAACAAAAGTCAGTCACAGTCACAGTAGTGAGCACTCGTGAGAGAGGAGAGCAGGACAGAACAACTCCAAGGTCGCTGTGCGTGTCCAACTGGCTCCTGATTATTTCTCAAAGACGAGCAGTTGAGTCGTGATTTCTCCCATTCCAGTCAGCCCTGCCAGTAACTCTGAGCCCAGACAAGGAGAAACAGCCTAGAGGGGCCTCGGAGTCACGCATGGTTCAGGAATATCCACTGCCTCCAGGCTTGGGCTCGGAGTGAGCGTCCTACAAACAGCCAGCACTGACTCCAGGTTCCTCATCCCGATGCATCCCCTTCAGCAAAACCCACCACCAGTGTGGCTGATGACAGCAAGGAAAAGGCTCACAGGACGGTCGAGCGAGAGGCCGGGTGGGCGCTCACAGGGAATGACAGGAACAGACACATGAAGTGACATTTGCGTCTGGAATCTCTCATTGCTTACGGCTTTAGAGTAGTTTGCTCTCCTCTTCCTATCTCCTGAGCCGTGTTGACTCGTGCTGCGCGTGGAGACCCCTCCCTCACCCTCGTGGGAGCCACAGGGCCACAGTGGACGCCTGGCTGGGGACTGCTGCTGAGGACCGAGCCTCGGCTGGCCACAGAGAAGGCGAGCAGCCAAGGAGAACGGGCTGTGGAGCAGGAAAGGAGCCGTTTCCCAGCCCTCAGATGCTGCAGGCGCAGCATTGGATGGGGCCCTACTGGCCAGTGGGTGAGAGAAGCAGACAGCAGCAGCCAGTCAGCTCTGAGTGCGTGTGAGTGTTAGCCGCTGGCAGCAACGGCCAGACAAGAGGAGAGGCTGTTGGGAGCCATGTTTATGTCCCACTGAGTCTTCAGATAAAAAGTTCTCCATCGAGACACAAAGCCCTCCTTCGCCATGGTTATACTCAGCCACCCTGAGTAATCACCCCCACCACCACACCATGGACAGGCTGCACCCTGTGAGCCAGGCCTATCGGAAGCAGACATTTAATTCACATTACCTCTAATCCTCAATCTTCACCGAGCCAAGGGAATGAGTATGGTTACACTCACTTCCCAAATGAGAACACTGCACACCAGAAAAGTCATTGAGTAACTGTCCCGAGATCATACACACTGAGGGAGCCCGGGAGCTCTGTGGTCATGGCTGCTCCTCCTTGGGCAGCGCCACTGCTCTGAATGAAAGGCTGGTGTAAGTGACAAGGCAGTTATGCTTTGGTAAAAATGAGTGTCAGCACTTCACCTGCAGAAATGGAACACAGGCTGGTTCATGGGCCACCTCCATCGATGATACGCCTACTGGGGAAGAGTTGGAAATATTTTTTTGTTTTTCAGAAAAAAAGTAGTCTGCACATATCTGGCATTCCATGTGAATTGTTTGTACCAGAAATGGAAATGGTATTAAAGGAAAATAAATTGAAAGGGGTACAGGCATAGGAGTTAGCCATGTAAGGCAAATCGTAATTTATTGAGATAAGAACACCAGATGTAAAAGTTGTATTGAAAAAAAGAGGAGCAATTATGTACCTCACCATTTGTGTGCATGAGCTGAAAACAGTTCATAAAACACCTGCCCAAGAATCCTTCACAGAGGCTTCATTGTAATTGCCAAAAGTTGGAAGTAACCAAGATGTCCTTCAGCAGATGAGCGGATAAACAAACTGTGCTACGTGGATATAATGGAGCATTACTCAGTGATAAAAATGAAGAAAAGATGTGGAGGAAGCTTAAATGCGTACCACTCAGTGGAAGAAGCCGATTTGGAAAGCTGCAGATCCTAACCTCTGGAAAAGGGCGAAACTACGTGACTGTAAAAGACCAGTGGCTTCCAGGGCTCCGGGGGAGGAGGGCTGGGCAGGTGAGACACAGGGGATTTGCGGTCGGTGAAGCTGCGGTGCACAATGCTGCAATGGGGGATACGCGTCGTCACACCGTGATCAAAACCCACAGGACGCACCACGCCAAATGTGATCCGGGACTGTAGTTAATAGCAGTACATCAGCATTGGTGCATCGATGACATCAAGGTGTCACACTAAAGCAAGAGGTTAATAAAACGGGGAGCGGTGGGGTAGGTGAAAGAAGTCTATGGAAGCGTTCTACATCTCCTGCTCAGTTTTTCTGTAAACGGAAAACCGTTCTTAGAAAGTAGTGCATTGGTTAAAATAAGCAAAGACAAAAAGGACAAGGGTAACTATACAGTTATAATTCCACATAGTAAACAATTCTGTGTTCTTGCCTGATGAATCGGATTTTTGAAAGCTCTTGGTAGGCAAGAGGAATCCTGCCCACTTTCTGTTTTCCAGCTAAGTCTCCCCTCGATCACTTAGAAAACTTCCTCAGACTAGGTTCCAATTAAGCCTCCAGTAGCGGGGTATCTAGAAAGGAAGGGTAGAATGGCTCACAATATAGAATTGATAATTCTATGAAGAAACACCAAACTTTAAATTGAAAAGAGCAGCTATTCATGTTAAGTTTCACCACGTTTATTTACACCACCTCACCTGGCTTCCTTTATCAGTCTCCCATGTATTTTAACTTTGAAAAATGTTGGTTTGAGGACAGAACTCTGGCTTCTCTGTCACTCACAATATAATCTTTCCCTGGACCTTCAATCCTGCTAGCGCTATGGGAAGCACAGCACGTTGAACCCTAAAGTACTGGAAGTCCTGAGAAGAGAAATGTTGCTGTGAACTATGTACACCTAAAGTCTACTTGCTGCAAACGGTGGAAAATGCAAACCTTTGGGCTCATATTTATAAAACTGTGAATTGATATCTTTTCCCTGTCTTCTATCTCCCAGAACACAGATTATATGGGTGAAAATAATAATGGTTTGCCATGATTGGAAAAGAGGTATAAAATTGGAAAGAAGTATAAAATAGGCATAAGTGATATATTTGTAAATTAAAAAATAAATAAGCAGAGAACCAAAGTTACTTGTAATTGGTTTTCCCAGCCTGACTTCCAATTGAGGCACACTTAAAATTTTTTTATCAAAGTGAAATTTGCAGAAAGTGAGCAGATCTTAAGAGTACAATCTGATGGATTTTGATAAACATATGTACATGCTTAGCCAATCCAAAAACAGAATGTTCCTCCTATTGCCCAAATTTCCTTGTACTTCTGTCAGCAAATCACACCCATGGGCAACCATTGTTCGGATTTTTCCCATCATCCATTAGTTTTGTATTCCTGAATTTTGTATAAATATATTTTTGAGACCCAACTGGCTTATGTGTGTAGTGCTTCTTCATTTTTTATTGCTGGGAAATATTGCTTATATGAATATATCACAATTTATCCACCATGCTGCTGATGGGCCTTTACATTAGTTCCAGGCTTGGCTCAGTGAACGTTTTCACTTCTTTTCAATTAGTGCCTAATTGCTGGTTTGTAGGGTAGGTATATGTTTAACTTTGTAAGAAACTGCCAAACATTTTTCCAAAGTGGCTGCTCCATTTTGTACTCTCACCAGCAATGCGTGTGAGTTCCAGCCGTTCCACATGCTCAGTGCATTTGGTATTGTCAATCTTTCCCTTTCAAACTATCTGTGTGTGGGACATAAATATCACTCCGCAATTTTAAGGAGCCTTTCCCTGATACCAAGGGTGCTGGCCATCTTTTCAAATGTTAAATGATCATTTATGCATCCTCTTTTATGAGATATCTTTTCAAATCTTTGCCTCTTTTTTATTGAATTGCTTGATTTTAATTATTGTATTATTTGTGGACTCTCTCTCTCTCTTTCTATGTATATATATATATATATATATATATATATCCCATTGCATGAAAGGTTAAAAAGTTAGTATCTTGTTCCAAGATCTCTGTTACGTAGTGATGGATGTGGTAATCAAAGCCCAAGTCTGTATGTATAGACCATACGGTGGTGGCATGCCTGTCATTTTTCTTTTAAAACAGAAGATGTTAATGTATGAGTTGTTTTTTCTAAACTAAAACCTCAGTGTTCAGGCTTAATTGCAGCATTGGCGCTCCATGATGAACGAGTGGGTTTTGCGTTGCAGTTTGGACCCTCGATTCTAAGAGGTTCACCACCAAACTAGAGCATGTGCTAGCCACACCCTGGAAGGTTTCATCTGCTTTACTAACCATGCTCAAATAAGCACACACGCGAGCCCACGCCTGCCCCTGAAACCCGGGGCGCCAGCGGGAAGTGTGGGTCTTCCCATACGTCTTTGATGTCTTCCCTACACTTAAAAGTCTACCTGTAAAGTCTGTCTGGCTGCTGCTGAACGCCATAACCTGAGATGTGAACTAGCCTTCCATGACACATGAAGATGTGCCCATGGATGGTAAGAAGACGGGGCAGCCACTAATTTGATAAACAGTGGCCCAGTCTTCAAGGAAATTTAAATCATTGCTCACGACGGCAAAATCCAAGAGAATTTCAGAAAACAACTCCAAGAGTTTCCTATTATTGGAACAAACAAGAGATGGTGTTACTCCAAATTTCACACGGAGACTTTAACTATATCAGAGAAAGGAGGGGTAAAGGAATTTAGCCACCTTTGCTGATTCTAGCAGACATCTTGGGGCAATTTAAAAGCTCCAGACCCGGGACCTGAGGTAGCTCACCTGATCCGAATCTGTGTCATCCTGTTCTCTCCTGGTCACCCGAGGCTGTGACTTTCCTGGGTGTCCTTTCGTGCTATTCTTAGCCTTTCCATGGATGTGTCCTGCTTCTGCCAAACCAAGAATAACAAAATAATGCAATTCTGTCATTCTACAGATGCAACTTCTTGTGTCGCTTTATTAGGAGGAAAATTGCATTGTTTCTAGGAGTTAGAACTAGCTGTCATTGTTTGTTTGTTTGTTTGTGATAGGGTCTTGCTCACTATGCAGCCCAAGCTGGCCTCAAATTCCTTATCCTCCTGCCTCAGCCTCCCAAGTGAATAATATTGATTCTTTTTTTTTGAGACAGGGTCTTGCTCTGTAGTTCAAGCTATCCTTGAGCTCACTATGTAGCCCAGGCTGACTGTGGGTGCTGGTGTAACAGGCATGCACCACCACGCGCGGCCACTCTTAATCCTTCAAATGCCAGAGGTTATGAAATAAAATGAGGTGCAATGTGTGAATACACAACTAAATGTGCAGGCTTGGCCTCCTTCCCATGCATGCTGTGTCCCAAAGAATCGGAATTAGCAGACCTGAAGCTTGGGCCACAGCCCATGTAAAATGTAACCTCAGAGGAGGGGACCTACTCTATAATTACGACCCGAATGAGCAGGACCGGGGTTTGCGAGCACCCAGCTTATTTACTACATGACAGACTTTGGTGAAATTCCTAGATAACATGTGAAGAAACGATATATTTTGTTTCTCACTGGTTGATAAGTGGTTAGTTTAATAGAACACAGATGTTGATCTCCTATCAAAATAAGTCTGACCTTTAAAAGCCAACTTGCATTTAGAAAAACCCTTTCAGCAAGCAATTTGGCAACACTTCAGAGCCATAAAAATATTTATAGGTGTTGACTATTTAATCGCACTCCTGGCAGTTTCTCCCCAAAGGAATAAACTCTCCACTAAAAAGAGAAGTGTGTATTGTAATACTATTCATGGTAAAAAAAAAATTAGAAACAGTTTTTATTTATAGTTACAGAAAAGATTAAGAAATTGTTTTAAGAACATGATATAGTCATTAAAGGGGAAATATTTGCCACAATATTAACAGAAAACACAAAATCTTAACTTGATATTTACTAATAAATACCATGGTATTTATTATTTTTATATATAGAAAAGAAACAGAAAAATGGGAATAGTCATCTGACCAGTGAGTGAGATTATGAACTCTTCCTTTTTTTTTTTGTACCAGGGATTGAACTCGGGACCTTGCGCTCGCAAGGCAGGCACCAGAACCACTGAGCTAAATCCCCGGCCCGTGAACTTTTCCTTTTGAGCTGCTTTTGTTTTCAGTTTTTTTTTTTTATTAGTACATGTTTGCATTGCAAAATGATTATAGTCTATGATTAAAAAGCATCTACTCGACAAAGAAAATAATCAATAGAGTCAGAGACACCCTACAGAATGGGAAAAATTTTGCCAGCTATTCCTCTGACAAAGGACACATAACTAGAATACATAAAGAACTCAAAATCCTAGACCCGCCCCCCCGCCCAATAAAAGACCTGATCAAAAGATACACAACTGAAATGAATAAACATTTCTCAGAAAAACTACAACTAGCCAATAAATACATGAAAAATGATGAACATCGTCGGTCATCAGAGAGAGGCCAATTCAAACAACACTAGAAAAAAAGTTTGTTTGTTTGTTTGTTTGTTTTTGAGATATGGTCTCACTGACACAGGAGATTAGGGCATGGCAAAGCTGGCTGGGGAAGACGATGAGACCTGTAAATTACAAGATCCGGGAACACACATGCAGAGCAGCTCCCAAATCCCCACGGGTGGACTTCTCACCAGAACCCCAGCAGGTTTTCAATAGGCCGCCTAGACCTGACGTCAGCCAGAGGCGTGGGAGCCCAGCCCCACCTCAGGACCCGGATGTAGAAGTTCTCGTGGGTTTCCTCGAGATTTGGACCGCATGAAAGGACACAGACGCCGAGAAGAGCTAGCTATTATGGCTTTCCTCTTGACAGCCCGCCCTGGTTTCTCCAGGGGGTTCTTTTATCTTGCTTTTTCCTCTTTTACTCAGCCCAAGCTCGCTCTGTAGAGGCAGTTTCTCCCTCACTCTTCACTTTTGCTTTTTCAAATAAACTTTGCCCTTTTTTTTGCTCATTTTGTTCAATTCTTTGCTCAAGACGAAAAGAACCTGGAATCTAACTCTATAAGGAGAGGTGAGCTACCCAAACCCCAGTGACATTTGTTTGGTGAACCACTTTAAGGAGCTACTGGATAACATCACTATGTAGCTCAGGCTGGCCTTGAACAAACTATGTAGTCCAGGCTGGACTGGAGCTCATGATGATCCTCCTGCCTCAGCCTCTTTAGTAATCTCCTGGGATTAAAGGTGTGTGCTACCATGCCTGGCTCTTGATTTAAATTTTTGTTTAATGTTGTACTGTTCAGGGGATTTCCTAAGCTAATTCACCCACTGACTGTTAGGGGCAGAGTGCCATGTTCAGCTCTCTGTGCCCTGCCCTCAAGCCTGCTGCCCCCAACTACACTCTCCTTCCCTCTGCTATCTGGCCCAGTAGTTCTCAGCTTCATCAGACTCAGTTCCCCACTGATGTTCTTAGATGTCACTGACAGACAATATCCTCCCGCCCACCTATGTTTGAATTGACATGATTATTTATTGTATTATAAATGAAAATTATAAAAATCAAAATATACTTATCAACATGTGTGTCTGGGCCTGATTATACCAAGCTGTAGTGGCTGCCCATCGACAGCAAAAAGGAGTAGAAGCCTTAAAATATCTCCAGTTAAAGACATCCTGAAGGTAGGTGTTTGGAAACAACAGACGTTTTCATCTAAGGCCCATTCATTTCTCTGGAAGAGTCCTGACACATCTCTAAGATATGTGTAGACCTCCTTCTCACCTTCTTACCTAAAGCTAAAGGCCAGAGAAAACGGTCTTGTCAAAACTGCAGATCTGCAAGGTGCTAAATGATCCAGAAGAAAGACACTCCTAGAGATCACATTTTCTGTCTAGACCCTTTTTCCACATTCTCAAACCCTCATAAAAACCCCAATTTCTCACCCTGATCATGCCATTTTTCTCTTGGAAACTGACCCACTGTCCCCCTTGACATAGTGCAATCTGGCCACAAAAGACTCTTGTCTTTTCTACATTCCTTGTTTATTGGTAAAATTTTACCTCCCACTTCCCCGGCCCTCTGTATACTGTCTAAAAAACCTATCCACATAGGTGAATCCTTATGAATTCAAATCTGGCACAGACAAACTGAATTACTATCCCAAATACCTTGACCAGTATTCCCATCACTGGCTGGATTGTCCAAAATGGTGAACAACCCTTGGAACAGTTCTAAACAAATAAAAGCAAGACCTTTTTTTCTATTTATAAAGTATCACCTTCTTAAAGAATTCATTATGCATAATACCATTTTAAAACACTTTGCATTTATATGTAAAATGAGGCCAGTTATTATCAACCATGACTGCACACTGAGACCACCTGGAGACCCAGTTAAGCTCCTGATGTGCCTGCCCAGCCTCCACCTGTTAAATCCCAGTTCTCAGGAGCCCCCAGGCACCTGGGTCTCTATGTCACCAGGAGCTTGTCAGACACAGACTCACAGGCCCGGCTCCAGACATTTAGCATTTGAATCTCCATTACAGAAACATTTCCAAGAGATTCATGTACCTATTAAAGTAGGAGGAATACTGGAGTAAATCAGGTAATTACAAAACAAGAGTTCCCTCAGCCTGCATATCCAACAGAATGTCCAATGACTACTTGAGATTTGGAAAATTCTTTATGATGTAAGACTTTCTAGTACATAAGGATATCTACCATAGCATTTCTGTCTTCCTGCCAATAAATGCCAGTGTCTTAGTCAGTTTTCTGCTGCTATAACTGAATACTACAGGCTGGATGATTTATAAAGAGAAGAAATCCATTTCTTACTTTCTGGAGGCTGGAAAGTCCAAGAGCACCCACACCTAGTGTGAGGCCCTCATTGCTGAATTATCACATGGCAGAATGAGTCACACGGCGAGACAGCAAGTGTACTAGCTCAGTCTCTCTTCCTCTCCTTAGAAAGGCACTAATGCCATCCCGGGGTCATGTCCTCATGAGCTCATCTAAACCTACCCAGCTCCACAGACTGATAATGTGGATCTGGGGATTAAGTTTCCAATAGACGGGGCACACATCCAAACCATAGCAGCCAGAAATTCCCACCCCAATTGTTTTGATCACAGAAAGCACCCCAAAACTTTCTCTGATACTTCCTAGGGTTGGAAGTATTAACCTAAGAAGAATTAACCCAATGTTTTGAAAAGTCAAGATTATTCTCATTGTCTTCATGCCCAAACTGCCTACATCTCCCTGAAGAGCAAAACTACCACCCCAGGGCTCCCCAGTTACAATTTATGATCATTTCACTTCCTCCTTAAACTTACAAGTCTTTTTGTGTGTGTGCTGGAGATCGAATCCAGGGCCTTCCACATGCTAGGTAAGCTCCTCACCAACTCAGATATATCCCCAGGCCACAGAAACTCTCAAAATAGGGAAAGTCACTGCTAGGGCTTGTGTCTAGAGGTCCCCCGAAAACCTTGTGTGCTCATAGGTGGAGCTTTTTAGAGCTGGCTTGACCTAGGCTGTGTGAATGTGGATTAGCAGTGTGTGAATGTGAATTAAGAGTGTGCAATAACTAAATTAGGCCACTTATTAGTGTAGCATGTAGCTCTGGGTGTGGATAATGGCAAGGCCTAACCTAGGTGTGGGCGGCACCACTCAAAAGTCTTGTATCCTGGATGTAATATAAAAGGACATAAAGAAGGCTGTTTGCTGCTTCCTGCCTACCCTGCCATGGACTGTTTCTCCTCTGCCATGCCCCTCTTCTATGGAGTCAGCCTGCTATGGACTGAAACCTCTATGAACTGTGAGCTAAAACAACCTTTTTCTCCTTTAATTTGTGGGTGTCCAGTATTTGTCCCAGCAATGAGAAAACTACTACAGTCATCATTCTATCTTTTATTCATTCAAAAAAATATATTGGAAGCACTCAAAAATGTTTATTTTTATTGAGTTACTGTTACTCAACAAACATGAGTTTATATAAGGCACTGTTCTAGATAAAAAAGATGAGTAAAATCCAATTCATTAGTACTGTAATCAAGAAGGAAAAATATGCACTAAATCTTATAATACAGTAAGAGTTTTCAGGAAAAATTTTTTTTAAAGTTCTGTGAAGAGAAAGAAGAAAGGATACAAGTACATTTATAAGTAGGGAGCCCTTTGTAATTTGATAGTACAGAATCAATACGTTCAAAACTTTTGAGAACTTGCTTTTCTCAGAAAGGAAAAAAAGTTGATTTTAAATAGATAAATAGACCACTGCAAACTTTTTCATAATAATTTGCTCAGCAAAACTTTTCTTTACAAATAATATAACAGTAAAACCATCCCAGGAAAAAAATTACAATTTTGAGTAATGATACCCAGATTAATAAGACTTGCTTTATTATAGCTCTAGTGATCTGATAATTTATCTTCAAATATCAACACCTTGGGTATTGATGATCAAATCAGCAGAAAACTTTTTTTTCCTATGGTACTGTATCTTAAACCTAGGGCCTTCCCACTAAGCTACATCCCTGGCCCTTTTTCGCTTTTTATTTTAAAACAAGGTCTCACTAAGACCCTAAATTGCCTAGGCTGGGCAATCTGCAATCTGCACTCTCCAATCTGCAGTCTTCCTGCCTCAGCCTCTCAGAGTGTTGAGATTACAGGTATGCACCACCATAACCAGCTATAACAACTTTTTTTAAAAAGACACTTTAGAATTTGTTCCTCCAGCAGAGCCACACCTAAACTACTAAAATTTCCAAAATTTCCTGTGTAAGCATTCTCTGACTGTATAAACATGTAAAAGATTCATGTATACAAATATATAAATAGTCCATGTATATATATACATGTATATAAATAGTTCATGTCAAGATTGATAAGCCAAAATATATACTTTAAAAATTGAGATATCAGTTAAGATAAAATTATTCTCCAAAGGATACATGATTTGAAATTTTAAATCTTTATTTTACCCATTGCTGGCAAATTAAGTTTTATCCAACACACCATATATTTCCATCAAGAGAGACACATGAAGCTGCAACAGGACAGGACAGTTGTTCTCAAGCAACTATTAAAGAAAGCAGGGCTTATAATGATTGCAACTAGGCATGTGTTGGTGGACAACATTGCTTCATCAGTGCTGTTTTATATTTCTATCTGTTATCATTTAGATCTAAAACGGCCCCGAAAGTCTCCTGTGCTTGGAAGGTGATTGAATTATGCAACAAGTGCAGCTGATTGCTGTTAGGTGGGGTCAGGATGGAACAGATGGGTGGCTGGGGCATGGCCTGTAAGGGTTTATCTCCCTGCCAGGCTCCTCTCTTCTGTCTCTGTTTCCTGTTCCCCACGCCATGCATGGCTCTCCTCCACCATGCCATCTTGTCTTGCAGCCAGCTGACCATGGACTGAGCCTCTGCTAACTGTGAGCCAAAAGAAACCTTTCCTCTTTTAAGTGATGGGTGTCTGGTATTGTGTCTCAGCAACCAGAAAGAAACTAAGACACTACTTAATGATAGGTCTCCCACCACCTCAGCAGCTATTATGTATAGTAGCTGCCCTCTTCCTATGGTGCCTTGCCCCCTCCCCTGTGTGACATCATGCCAAGATGGTTGCTCCCAACAAAGAATAAACCCTTCTTCCCAGCATGCCCCTGTTCCCACCTGGAAAGTAACCTAATACTCACTCACCTCCTACCACCTAGTGACATCACAGGCTCCTCCATTCCCTAGTCACTACCTCACTCAACCCCACCTCAGCCCCTACAAACC